TTGATTAACTCATAAATCAAACCTGATCCCAAGCCTGGAGCGGGCCCCCACCTCAACCACCTCCACCTCCACCAACCCAAAAAAAAAAAAAAAAAAAAAATACAGTGGTGAGAAGCTGCAGCCCAACCCTGCACCCTCCAGCTAAGTAAGTGGAGGCGGGATGTTCCAGCTCATGGCAGCAACCCAGCAGGAGGGAGAGGCCAGGTGGAGCAGGTAGAGTGGGTGATAGAGAGGAAAAAAAACACAGGGTGGGGTCATGGAAAAACGACAGGTACAGGGATTAGTGTATGTTTTTGTTAGAGACCGGAAGGGATGGAGAAAGAAAAACGCAGAGGGACTTAGGGGGGATATAAATGTGTTAAAAAGACAAAGGACAAGATAGGCCGAATCAAACGCTGTGTAGTGCTGCCAATACTGAGAGAAACAAGGGAAGACAGATACGGAGACAAAGAGGGAGAGAAAGCATAGAGGAATGCAGTAAATCCCTGAGTGACTGAACTATCCTCTGGAGGAAGAAAAGAGGAATTTTTATGTGCTGCAGGTGAGCAGAACAGAGAGGGAGGGAGAGGGAAGAGACGGAGAGAAGAGGAGATAGACAGATGGAAAAAGACGGAGGGAACGCGGGGGTGGCCGAGGGAATTTGAGGGGAAGCGTGAAAGGGTTTGATTGTAGCGGAGAAAAAGGGGACACGTGGGGTGAAAATGAAGGAAAAGTGACACGAAATGACACAAAATGGCTGCTCGCCCAGCACGAGAGGATGGCACATGGATGGACACGGTGAGCAAAAGGCCGAGAGACATATGGAAAAAAGATTGGGAAACAAAAAAAAAAAAAGAGCCATAGCGAGCAAACAGGAGAAAGACAGACAGACGGGGAGGAAGAGGAGGTCCGAGAACAACTCGATTAGCGCATCTGTGTATCTTAAAGGAATACGCCAGGCTTTTGGGAGGTTGGTTGACTTGAATGATGAGATTACGCATCAAAAATCATTGTGTTTACTGCCGTCGCTTCTGATTGGTACATCGTTACCTCAGTAATTCATTTATATTTTGAGGTGTTTTAGAGGAGAACATGGTGTTTGGTGCATTTGGGGCATTCAAACCAAACATAGCTGTTTAACTCCTGTAAGGTATTCTGCAATTGTCACGTTTCCTTTGTGATGTGAGCAGTGGAGAAATCTTCAGTCAACCGTCCTCAGCATCCAGGAAGGAAAAATCAGCACCATTTAAAATGAGCAATAATGTTTTAATTCAACAAGCACAACCGACTACAGGTTTGTGCCGCTGAGTGTATTCAATTTTTGTAAAATACATTTAAAGAAAGTCAGCTTTTGGCATCATAACTGTCTGCACAGATGATATTTCTGAGTTTTCTCCTTCTAGTCACAGTTGGTCTGTGTCCATAGAGGTGCACGACTTTATATTGCAGTGAAAGAATGAGGCGGCAGTGAGGAAGAATTGTGAGAGCAGCAAAAAATAAAAATAAAAAAAGCTCAGAAACTGCTACTTGGAGTTGAGAGGGTGAACAAGCAATAACTTCTGTTTCTTAAAGATGCCATTTTCAACCTTTGTCATGTCAAAGGATTTTGTGTGTGTGTGTAGAAAAGCAAACACATCCAATATTTGTTTTTTTTCATTTTCTTTTTCTTTGGATATATTATTGGCTGCTGCACTGTCTCTACCCAACATCTGCTCATCAAAAAACATTCAGAAATATCTTTCTTCATAAAATATTAATAAAACAACAACGAAAAACATTTGATTGTGAATAACCGTGAAATGTTAACCTTTTGAAGGATTTCTTTCTTTCGTTTATTTAACAAAAAAGGCAGAAATTTATCCGATTTTCACAAATATTTGATTTTTATTTAGTTGGTGAAACTGCTACACTGTAAATACATCTCCAAAATTACATGCAAGTTGTGACAACAAATAGAAAAGAAAGCACTGGTGCTGTCACTGACATATATTAAGCGAGATAGATAGATAGATAGATAGATAGATAGATAGATAGATAGATAGATAGATAGATAGATAGATAGATAGATAGATATCATCTGAAATTAAGTCTGGACATTTTTGGGGGAAATTATGCAATACTATAGTTTTGGGGTTTTTTTTGACATGATTGTTATTTATTCTATATTTTACAGGGGGCTTTTTGTGTGTGTATTTGTTTTTTGTTTGTTTGTTTTTGGCACCCAAGCCACTGGAATAGTTTCCAGGAAACAGAGCTTTTTTTTTCTCTGTACAGATTTTTTCCATTGAAGAGAAGATATTTAACTGTGTGCATTAGAGCAGCAACAAACTCAGGATATAACACTGGACAATACCACAGCAAAGTTCTTCAAAAAAAAAAATGCATCCAGAATCAAACAGTCGACTGCTTAGCTTTGTGGGGATTCAGATCAAAGACACAGGTGGGGGTGTTGTTAAAGGCACCAGCAGACAATGTGAAATACGATCCAGAAAAACCAGTCTGAGCGACAAATTACTGTGTTTACCAGACGCCAGTCAGTAGTAATTGCATCAGTAATTATTTCATCTTTTGTCATGATGATTGTGAGGTAGACAGTAAAAATATGGTGTTCTTCTTAGAAGGTAATCTCCCAGAAAGCGTGCTCTTATTTGAACGAACAAAGACAGCACCTTGTCGGCCTCGAGAGGTTTGGTTGGGTTTGATCTGTTTTGTTTCACTGCAGCCTTGTTTCTTTGCCACAAACACACATCAACAGACGTGATTTACTCAAATCAATGAGAAACAAAGTCAATCTGACCTCTTCCTGTGGTGCACGCAATAAAGATAGCTTGTTATTTGTGCTGTATTAATGAGATGTTTGGACTTTATTTGCAGTTTTATGTATCAAGAGAAACATTTCCTCAGATTTATATGAATGATCCAACCTGAGGAAAGTCTTAAATGCGTTTCAACTTCAGGTCAGTCCAGTGGGGGATCAGGACTTTTAAGACACAATTCTTAAACTTTTTAAAAATTAATTTTAGGGTAATGCACTAGAAGGGAAATGCTTTGAAAATGAGGCCCTAGCTATATTATATACCCATCAGGTTTGAGATTAAACAACCTACCCAATATTTTGTAGGTCCTCTCGTGCTTCGAAAATAGTCTTGAACTGTCGGGGGATGGACATGGGTGTCCTGTAGGTATTAGGATGTTGGCAGCGGATCCTTTGAGTCTTGTGGGTTTTGAAGTGGGGCCTCCATTCATTGGTTCTGGTTACTCTGTGGAGTTTGGAGGCCACGTCAACACATTCAGCTCTTTGTCATGTTCCTCAACCTGTTCCTGAGCATTTTCTACAATGTGACGCGGCACATCGTCCTTCGGAGGAAAGATGCTGTCATCAGGGTTGCCATGGAGATCCCAACAGAGCATTGCACTTAATGATATTCACTTCATCTGTCAGAGGTTGTATTTTGTTGCTGACTGGTGTATATTGAGAGCACAGAGCAAAGCAGAACCTCCTGCTGCCTTGCATATTGAATCATCTGACCTCAAAGAGCAGATAAGGGAGGGAGGAAAATCTGGTGTTTTGTTTTAGCAGTTAAAGGTGGAGTGTAGAGAAGTAGAAGGATCAAAGGAGCCAGGAAAAAGAAGAGAAGAGCTCTTCAAATAAAAGTTCTTCGACATGATGGCCTCCGCTGCATTACATCACAGCCTGTCAATCAGGCCTGTCTGAGAGCGTTTTTCTGTCAGCAGCTGCCTGATAGTAACAAGCCCATAATGTCAATGCCCTGTCACTCAGTATCTGTTCTTATCGAAGGACTTGCCAGCTGAGTCATACTTACAGGGCTCGGCTATCCTGTTACGTATTAGTTACAGCAATTTGTCTCTGCTTCGCTGACAGAGAGAGACAGGCAGAAAGAGAACGAGGGAGACAACACTGAGTGATGGCTGTTAGATAGCTATGCATGACAGGCCTCATTCCAGCGAAGTTCTGACACATAGAGATAATGATTCACACACGTGCTGCGATTGCAAGCCCACACAGGGGCAAACAATACTCACACACACTGATAAACGCACACACATATCGGCCCGACAAAGCTGCCTTTGTTGAGCACTGGCAGCCCCTCAGTTACTGCTTACTGAATGAGGAAAAAAACACACAACACCTCCTGTGTATGTGTATACATACGTGTGATGTTTGTGTCACTGTTAACCCTTTCCAGGATTTAGTCAGAGTCATGAGTGTGCCGACGCAGTCCCTGCTCTGCTAATTCTAGTTTTGAGGCTCATGTGTGCTTGTTTGTCAGCACCCTTGTCCTCATTTGTGTGTTTGTGTTATGTGTGTCGGGGTGGGAGTGTGCAGTTATGTGCAGGTGTGTAGCTCCGAGGTGATGCTCAGGAGATTCTCATTGATCCTTTAATATCTGGCCCGAGGGGAGGAGGGGGAGCCAGAGAGCTGCAGAACACGTGGGAAAAAACTGTAGTCGAGAGCAATAAAGCCAAACAAGGTAGAGAGAGAAAAGATAACAGGTGAGGAAGCGATAAAAGAACACAAGGGACACGCAAAAAAAAAACGATAAGAGGCGGCATTGAAATGCAGACACAACAAGAGACCAGGCCTGTTGGTGGGATTACGAGGGATTGTGTTTGTACCTGCTCATGTAAATCCCTCACTGCCACGGGTCAGAGGGGCGTTTTTTGGCGGAAGAGGAGCTTCGTGAGATAGTGTGATGAGAAAGAAAAGCAAAGTGGGAGGTGGGAAGCGCGACATGAAAGGAAAAAGATCGTAAATTTTCGCCAGGACAGACAAATAAAAACTCTCTCATACCCCGCCTCTCTCGTTCCATTTTTTTTTGCCACGAATGTGAGCCGGCCTTTGTTTTTCAGGAAACGCCCCGACCCCAAACTCCTCTCCCCTTGTGCCAATCACCCGAAACCATCCCTATAAAACTAAAACCATTGCAAACAAAAAAATCCCATATGCATTTCTTTATTCTCCCCTCCCACTGAACTCCCAAATGACCAATAACACCACGCTCTGTACAAAAGCTAGTATTTATTCTCTCTTGAGTTACAGTACAGTATTTTCACACTGGAGAAAAAAATAAATAAACATCTTGTTCAATAAATAGTATAGATATGATCCATAACCTTTAGCCATGTCATCTAAGGCACATTGCAAACACATAACAATAGATTTATTCTGAAATCTGTTAACTTGCCAGGGGTGGAATCTCAATATGTTGAATTTCCATGTTTAGGAATGTGAAGTTACAAAAAAGGACCAGTTCAACATTTTGGCACTGAAATTGGGAAAACTGAGCATTTCCTTAACTTGTTTCACGTTGTTGTCGCTATGTTCTTCATCATCATGTTGACCAATTAAAACTCACTTCATTGTTTTTTTGAGGAGGCACACATTAGTGAGGTGTATCAGCAGAATCTACGCTCATGGCAGCTGTAGCTATGATGCACAACCTTAACACAGAAGCATGAGTGAACAATGAGAGCAGGGAGAAACCGCAAGCTGGCACTGTCCAGAGGTTTAAAAACATCTGCTCACAGCTCACATATTGTGTCTTGTTAAATGTAAAAAATAAAATTAGTGGTTTTAGCGGAATACTATTTCTTAACAACAAAACTTTTAACTGCACAAATGTCAAGCAACATTGCAACATTTTAAAGGGGTTATTAGCTTGATTAATCCTGGAGTCTGCACTGGTTGACGTGACGGCCCACAGTGTGTTGCTCTGACACTTTAGGTTTCATTTGGCTTTAAGAAATTCGATACGCATTACAAATAGAGCTTTACAGGTGTTGCTGGGTGGATTTTGCCACCTTTCATTGTATATGCCACCCTTAGGGTCCATGTTTAATAAATATAAGATTCCTTTTCTTTGTTTTGCCGAAAATATACGAATATATATGCCTATAAAAATAAAAAGTCTCAACATAGCACTTGCTAGAAGATATAAAAACTTGGATGGATTTAAAATTTCTCAGTCTTGATAAAAATAAGATTGTTATGTTTGGTCAGTCAGACCTTTGCAATGACCCTGGTGGTGCCACTCTTGGCCCTTTGGCTTCATACCACTGATTATTTTTGTAAGAAAACTTTGGTGTGATCTTTCAACTTTTACCCAGGGTCTATCTCTATCCCAAGAACTTTGAAAAAGCTATTTATGTCTTCATTCAGTTAGAAAACTACAATTCCTTGTATGTGGGCGTACATCAGTTAACATCTGCAGCTGGTACAAAACATATATGATCATCTTTTGACAGACCGAACATCACATAGTGCCAGTATGAACTTCCCTCCACTGGATACTTGTCTGTTTAAGGAATTATTTTAAGGTGTAATTGTTTGTTTTTGTGTAGAGCACTGAGGTCGACCAACCAGAAGCTCCTGGATGAGATATTCAGGTCTTTACTGTTGCTGCTCATCTCGAGAACAATTTACCGTTTTGTGTAAAAACTGTTAAAAACTTTAAAACCCACCTCTTCTCATTGGCATTTGACTCAAGTAGAGTTTAACAACTTAATCTCTTAATTTGTAGTTTTTTCTTATTATCTGAATGTCTTCTTTTATTCACATTGACCTTTTAGCCATTGAGTTGTATTGTGTTTTATGGCTTGCTGTTTTAATTGTACAGCTTTTTGGTTCAACTCTTGTTCTTTTTAAATATGCTTTTTAAATAAATTTGACTTTGAACTTTGACCTTTACCCTGTATCCACCCTTTATGCTAAGCTAAGCTAACCAACTGCTGGCTCTGTCTTCTTCACATTTACTGTACAAACGTGAGAGTGGTGTCAGCACATTTCCCAAAATGCTGAAACTATTTCTTTGTACACGACTGTGCTTTTTTTTTTTTTTTTTGAAGTGAATGGTATGTTAAGGCACAAGTTACCACAATAAGTGTATGCGTTTGACCACTCTGTCTGGACAGTATGTGTAGCACTGTTGTAGGGTTACTGTAACTGACCAGTCGACTTGGGATTACTCAGCAGTACCCCTCTGCTGGTCATTTCCAGTGCTCATCCCCTGACTCATGCCTCCTCTCAGCTTCCTCTCTTTTTTCTGCGTCTTTCCCTCCCTCCCTCCTCTGTGCCCTCATCCTCCCTCCGGCCATTTTTCCTCGCCCTTTTGTCTTTTGCCCATTCAGAAATTTTCCCTTCTTCCTTCAGAGAAAATGAATGTTTGCTGATTCACGGATCTAGGGGTCGCTGAATCAGTTTTCCCTCAATGGCTGCACTGTCTGTGTCGCTGCCTGTCACTCAGTCTGCCCCCGCCTGGATGTGTGAGTCCAACCACCTACAGTGGTATTTCTGTTGATCTATGAGCCGTGAAGTCCGGTAACTCAGCCCAGTCTGAGCGAGTCTCGCTCAATGAGCTGCTATGTGCATTAGGCGGGTGACAGTGCTGGTAATGTGTTGGCTTTGTGTGTCTTATATTCCATTAGCACTTCTGGTGACCTGCCAAATTGTCCTTCATTCACTTATTCCAGTACGGTATGAATGAATGTGTTAAGCATGAGTGTGTTTATGTGCTTTTGTCTGTTCGATTTCCACCCAGATTTTGTGCAAACAATAGATTTCCGATATACTGCACTTCTGTGTGTCTCAGTGTCCAGTCCTGTCCAAATGTCTCAGCCTCGGAGTCTCTTCTTCAGGCGGTTAAAGTCCTTCGCTGACCGCCACAGCCAGCTCTGCAGTTCTCGCAGTATCCAGAAACCCTCCACCTTCCTGGCGAAATCGTTCATTGCCGGCCGCACGGACAAGAGCGAAGACGAGGAGGTGGAAGGGGAGGAGAAGAGCGGACTCAAGGGAGGCGAGAGAAGGGAAGTGCCCCTTCGTAAAGACAGGGGGACGGGCTGGGGGAGGAGGGTGTGCTCCTCACCTGCTCCAAACTGGTACAGGAGGGAGAGGGTGGACAGAGGAGGTGGGAGGGTGGGGGAGAGGAGGGAGCGAGGAGGCCTGCGCTGCTGGTGATGGACAGTGAAAGAAGAGGAGGTGGCGTCCATTTGCTTCTCCTCCTCCAGCATAAAGCCCCTGAGCTTCTCTGCGATAAATCCATCTTCTTCTCTGAGTGTGTCTGCGTGATGTGAGTTTAGGTTGTAGCTGTACTGGTTGTTGCTGCTGGTTTGTTGTTGATGGAGGCGGGAGATGTCTGTGTCCAGGTACGACACCTCAAACCTGGGTCCCTCCCGCCGCTCCTTCTCCTCTCCGTTTTCACTGATGCTCAACAAACGTCTTCTGCTCCCCCAAGTCTCCACCAATCCCTCTTCATCCATCCCTACTGTCTCTTTTTCAGGTTCCTCCCTCCTCTCTCTTCTCCCTCTTTCTCCCTTCCCCTTCTCCCTCAATCCACCATTCCTTCCTCCAGCTGCAGCTGCCTCTGCTCTCCTCCCCTCTTTCCCTCTCCTTTTATCCATCAGATCCACACTGACACCATCTTCCCTCTCGCCTCTGACCACCTTCGTGCCACTTCTCCTCTGGTTGTTACGGTGACCTGACTCCGTCCTGGTTCCGGCTCTGGATCTGTACAGACTCTGGCTCATGAGCGGAGCTGGTCGGTTGCCTCCCGTCCCCCGCTGCAGCTCTCCAGCGTTAGTTCGCATGTTTGCAGACTGAGGAGGAAGTGCGTAACCGAGGGTGGTCATCAGTGCAGATATGGAGCCCAGCAGTCCATCCAGACCAGTGCAAAAGTGCAGCAGGGAGGTTTTGAGGGAAGGGCAGAGGGTGGAGCTGGCCAACTCCCTGACAGCCGCCAGCAGGACAGAGTAGGCTTTCTGGTTCTGGGCGAGCCGGGCCTGGTTCTCCAGACCGTGCCACAGCTCCAGTCGGGTGGCAGCACTCGGCAAAGTCAGAGCAGTGCTGTTGGGCCGTGGAGGGGAGAAGTCTTTCTCATTGAATGGAGGGCCTAGATAGGTCAGCTGGAGGAGGTAAAAAAAAAAAAAGACAGAAAAGAAAAGAAAAGAAGAAGAAGAAAGCAGGAGAAGGTTTAATTTAAAATGATTGTTTGGGTTTTTACAACTTGGGTCCCTTTTGGGGGACCATCATTCATTATGACATTATGACAAAACAAGCGGAAATCCATGATCAGGTGGGTTGTAAATGAGTCGACAGTTTATTTAAACTATCTGAACCACTTTATTTGAAACTAAACGTGAGAGCTTCTGTCATATCTCTAAAAAAAAAAACCCTAAATACGCAGGAAAACTGGGCACAGAAGCAGAAGCACACACACTAGTATGAGGTTGAACAGGGAAAGCAACCTGTAAACTGTGCTGAGGGACGTTGACTCTGCAGTTTGGCTTCTTTTCTCTTCCAAATTAGTTTCAAAATAGTTTGACTAACCGGAGGGTTTGAATAAAACCTGTCTGATCTGAATTAACCGCTCCTGTTTCTTGTCTTGACAGATTCACATTCCCAGATCTCAGCAAATAGCACAGTGAGTAAGAGAACGCATTGGAAAGATGGCCAAAACAATAAAAGTGAAGCCTACATTAGTCAAGCACAATAAAAATGGTCGTGCCCCTTAAAAATTAATTACAGGAACAAGAAATTCTTGATTGACGATTAACAAAACTGCAAGGTTAACAGCAGGGTAGTGGAATTAGTAAAACGAAGATGTGGAGAGATTTTCTCATTTTACTCTCTGCACGATATGTGAAGTATTTCTCACAATGTCTAAATATATTTTAAAGCTTGCAACAACAGATTTATTAGGCCCCTGGGTGCAAAGAAGCTGCATGCGCTGATGTGTTCAACTTATTAGCAAACACTCACCACTTTTTATTCAATCCAACAGTGATAAATCAACATTTTCAATAATTTTGTGTTGCATTTTTGACCACATGGCAAATACAAGTGCAACATTTACAAGCCTTTGAGCATTGTTTTGGTCTCTAGCAACCCCTGAGAGTAATGCTGCTAAATGCTAAAAAGTATTGATTATAGCCACTTTGAATTGATACCTTTCTATCTGTGTATTTAATTGTGTTTAAGTTCCTTCAGAAGTGAACTACTTTCCACAAAGTGTTCATGTTTATTTTGTGTTTGACCAAAAAGGCATTGAGATTTGTGGAAAACTGCTGCAATAAAAAACATTTGGACACAGACTGTGTTTCGATGATGGTTTTGATAAAATCATTAAGAGACTGCAGAATGAAACAGTTAAATCAAAACAGAATCACAAAACTACTCACGTATACGTCTTTGATTTCCTTGAGCTGATACTCCAGGTATTTGGTCAGCTCATACGTACTTTCTATCGAACTCCTCTCACTGGCCAAGTTGTGGGAAGGATCCACGGCCATCGCCATGGCAACAGCCAATAGCAGGACAAGATGGTGTTGATGGACTGCAGAGAAATTAAAAAATACAAGACTCTGATTACAACCCACACAGACACTGCGAGATGTTTCTTTAATGACACTGACATCTTGGGTGTCCAAGAGTTAATTAACGCACTCTGCAGAGGTATTTGTAGTAATAACAATGAGAAGAAATTTATTTCAGCCTCATTACTGTCTTGGACGTTTTGTGATTATTTGACTTGGATGTTGAGTTTTTTAATGAATTTGATGATTGAGAGCTCAACAGACAAAAATCACCTCCAGCAACAGTTTCCGAGCTTTGCTCCAGTCGCTGCACCGTCACAATGTTTATAGGAATTTTTTACAATTTTCTGGTTTATTTCTTTGTCTCTATGGCGATGGCCTCGGCTGTTTACATATTGCCAGGTCAGAGTCATCTGACACTGCCAATAAAGCTTTTTCCGTTTCCAATCTAATTTTAGAGGTTTCTGGCTGTCGGAGGTTTACTCTGGCTTCAAATAAAACCTCGCTTAATAGCTTCAGACAGTCAGACAAATGGATCCTATGTTCAATGCACCAGTCTGTCAGGCAAACAGCCACTCAAACACACACACACACACCTACACACACACACACACACACACACACACAAACGGTCATTCCTGACTAACCCAAAAAACAAAGACATGTGGCTTTCTTTACAATCACAAACATTAATGTGTTTGTATCAGCTGTATGTTTGCTGTGGACTTCTTGTTTAGGTTTTAGAGTGTTTGTGTAGGTGTTTTACGTTACTGTGTGAGTGTTTGTGAGAATGTTTGTAGCCGTAATTATATATGTGGATTAAATTCACATTGCTGTGAGTGTATACAGTGATTCTGTGTGTGTGTGTGTGTGTGTGTGTGTGTGTGTGTGTGTGTGTGTGAAAGAGAGAGGAGTGTGGCTGTAGCACTGAAAACCTTTTAGTACCCCTGTCTCTGGTTTCAAACAGAGAAAATTGGAGCTGAAAGGTGGTTTTCAACATTAAGGAACTTCATGTACGTCCTCGTCTCTTTGTCCCATGCTTGCTCTCTCTGGACGCTTTCATTTTCACACTTTCTTCCTTTACTCGCCGTCTCTCTCTCTCTCTCTCTCTCTCTCTCTCTCTCTGCACTTCCTCGGCGAAGCACATTAATTTTGTCGCCTCTGCTCTCCGTCATCCTTTTCCATCCTCTCTCTCATCCTCCTGACACACAGACGGTTGGCTGTGATTCATGCTTGTAATTATGGGCGAAACATGCTGCTGTTCAACAGGTGTGAAATGCACGTTGCACAATGCGTACGACCAAGTCGGCCTTTCTCTCGGCTCAGACACACCTCGGCCGCCCTGTTGCTTCAGCCCCTTTGCCCTCTCATATTAGTCATGCGTTGCGTTCCTTTCTCTCTCATCATACCTTTCACCTACGCGCTTTTCCACATTTTCTTATCTCCTGTCTGCCTCAGGTCAAAATAACAGCAGCCGATTAACCCTGATTAGCTCTCCCTCCTTTCTTTCAGTCTGTCTTTCATCTTTCAGGACGGGCCCCACGGGATGAATAAAGGGACTTTAAGTGAATCACTGAAACACCTTGAAGAAGCATTTTCCTCTGACTCAGCCTTTTACATTTGTCCTATTGGAATGCATTACCACACAGGGTTGTGTTTCCAATGAAATCAATGTGCTCTGTGCTATTCAGTACTCAAAAATATTGCTTTATGAATATGTCAGAGGGAAATATGGGATGAGAAATTAAGAAATATATTTATCGTTTGCCATCTGTGGCTCATTGTGAACTAATCAGCAAAGTATTTTTGTCAATAAACTATTTAACTATGTTACAAATTGCAATACTGATATGCTTAGCCCCTTTGAAAACATTAATTAATCAAATGTCTTGATCTTTAGTGACAGATTGAATGACAGCTTGGGAAAGTGGCAGTTTCTAATTAAATCAGGATTAGAAATATTTGTCACAGAAGTGACACGGACCAAGTCTGAGCAAACAGCTCCCTCACTGCTTGGTAAAAAAGAAAAAAGAAAAAGCGTCTCTGTCATTGCCGGTAACTCTTCCACTACCTGTTGATCCCAAATTGTCGGCTACATCAAAGCATCCTCCAAGACTATTTACTACATCAATGTCAGGGCGCCTCCCACACACACACACACACACATGCACTCACACACACCTACACACACACCTACACACACACACACCTCATAATCAGTCAACCAGGACAACCCCCGTCAGCCAGGCGTCCTCCGTTCTCCTCAACCGCAAAAGCCTCATCACCTGTCAGAGGCAATATGCATCTTTCAGAAGCAGCCGAACATTTGGAGCTCATCAAGCCGCTGGCTCCTCCCACTGAACATCCTCCATTAGCATCAAAACACCCTGAAATCAACAAGACATCGTTGATTCTCGGAGTAAACAGCCCTGAAGGGAAAGGACACACAGTGTGTAGAAAGGGTCGCATTCAGAAGGAATAAACAGGTACCAAAAAAAGAAAACAGCCTGTGATGAAAAAGAGAAAAATCTTCTTGGCAAAAATCAACCCAAACTGCTCCAAACTGTTTCCTTTTGTCTGCAGCCACATGCTTGGAGATGATTGCCAGACGTGAAAGGCTCTTGTTGTTTTGATTGAGAACTGACATGTCTAAAAGCAGCCTCTGCTGTGTCTAAAAACAACCACTCTTTTGTACGAGTAAACTGAGATAACTCAAACCGAGAGCCATGTTGTTGTTATATAATATTAGGTTGAGTAACTACACTACAGTCGGCATATAGCCTGACTTCAAGGCGAGCCCCGCAGGCTTGGGGCTGCGTCTGTGTACCTGGCAGTGGAAGCACACTCCGCAGGGCAGGGTTGAAACCAGAACATTCTCCGTGGGAGGATTGCATTACAGCAACACAGGGGTTCCCTGCAACGGCCGACCATGACCTGCCTCTGTGCACTAGTGTGTGTGACTCCACACACACGTACCTATTAGAGTTACACGTATGCACACACCAGAGAGCAGCTTTATTCACAACAGATCGTATTTTTTATCTTCTTCGGTTTGTTCGCCGGTGTAAAGTCAGATGTGGCACTCTGGAGCCAAGTCTGGCTGCCATCTGCAAAACAGAGCTGAACATGAGGTTCTGGCAGCAGAGCTCCTGAGCTCCAAATAGGTCAGAATTAAACACCGCCGCAGGGTCAGGGTTCAGAGTTGAATTTTGGGGCACAAGACTGTGTACAGGGGCAAAAAAGATCCTTGTAACACGTTTGACATTTTACACTCCAGACAGTGTTTTGGTAAACCAGTGACCCAGTGTTTGTGGGTGTTGTACTGCTTCTATCCAAGAGGACTAGTATTTCATCTTTCCCAACATGCACCAACATTTGAGGTTTTAAACAAGCACTTAAACAGAATTTGGTATTGTGGGAAAACCATGTGCAAGTAAATCTCTCCAGTCTGGTCCAGGAAAAACTCGCTCCGGTGCCAAAAAAGGTTGCCCTGCATCACTCTAACCACTTGAAAGAGGTCTTAAACAGAGAGGAAACATAAGTACACAGAAGATGTTGTAAATCAGGCCTAAATTGATGATGTTTATCATTCCTTGCGTGACATTGATTAGGAGTTTTAGACTTAGCTCAGACTTTTATTGAGCACGCATTGTGAGACTTTGACAAGATTTAACCTCAAATGAGCCCGAGCCGTGTTTTCCAGAGCCGAAACGCCACGCTGCACCCTCTTCACACTTCACTTGTATCTATTCACAACACTACTCTGCAACACCAGAGGTCAATATCAGGCAACATTAGGCACCGAAGTAACTGATGCATCCAGTCGCATTTCATGCCGCAGTCTTTATATGTCATGTAGCCGGTGACAGATTTAAATCCTCAGAAGTTCAGTTTGATCCTAATTTAATCTGAAGTCTGTGAAATGTTTTTAATGTATTTTTGTCGACCCAGACCTAATGAAAGAAATCTTTTTAACTTTTTTTTGATAAAGCGTTCATATGCCAGGCCTGCATCTTATTATTCAGAATGAGCAGCAGAGTTGGCAAAACTATTAACATCAGCCTCCAAGTTGTAACTCTAAGACAGAGATAGCTGAAATTTTAGACAGCTGAAATGAACTGCAGAAGTGTCAACAGAACATTTGGGAGAAATTATTGAGATACAACTCTTTCACTGGTGGTTACATCTAAATAAATTCAGATTTTCAACAAAAAATGTTAATTATTTTTTGGAATACGTTTTTTTTTTGGTTTTGTCAACACGCCCGTACAAACATCCAACATCGCAAAAGTAGCAAATTTCGGTTAATTATAGTGAATAAAAGTCACTCAAAAGTCAGAACAGTGTCTGTTCCTGCCCACATTGTGTGAATGCAGCATAAACTCGAGGTTCCCTGTGCTTTCAGTTACATCTCTTAATCTTCTTCAACTGATAGTTGTCAGAAGTTCTGTACTGACACTTTATCCCAGATATCGTATGTGTTCACTGAACTCCACATGCTGCAGCCACTACATGAAAAAAGCTTCACATGCTTTTCGCAGAACGTGCACCCGTCCTCTGCCTCGTCTTACATATTTGTTGTCATCCAGAGACAGAGCTGGAGGCTGACTGTGGCTCTGTTGACAGAAAAAAAAAAATCCCATCGGAGCCAAACTCAAAGGAGCTGTTTGTTTCCTGCATAGTTTTTTGTAATTACTCAGCTGCACTGTACCTGGTGGCAATTTTGCCTTCTGTCATAACGCTTACCTCACACGTAAACACACGGGTGGATGCCGGCGGCAAAGACGTGCATCAGCAGACTGATGACAGGGTTCGAGACAAACACGAAGTGGACAGAGACACACACTGAGGGGGGACCGACAATATCTGGGGTCGGGGTCAGTGTTGTGTGTCTGTGTACAGTTAAAGGCCAGATTTATGTGCAGTCTGTACTCAATCAAGTGTGCATTCCTACACTAACTCAACACACACACACATATGCATCCACAGTGTGCGCTGCGATTGTAGATCCATGCGTGCACAGGCGTTACACTGAGCAAATGCATATAAACAAACTATTGTGTACTCAAGCGCACACACATTACGCGCGCAAACACACACACTTTTCCCATCTCGTCTCCCATGAGCTTCCTTCCTCTGGAGTTTGTTCATACTGGATTTCACATTGATCCTCTTGGCACTGGACACGCTCTGGGGTTGCCAAACAACATCAATGACCCAAAAACAAAGGCAAAAGAAAACACACATTTAAAAAAGTCCAATAAAAATTATGTTTATGCCCAGAAACCCTCTGTGTGACCATTTCTCGCTAGTCGTAAACTCAACATCCGTTCTCGCCTTATTGTCTGTCTCCCTCTTCACCTTATAAGCCAATCTATCCTTGCCTCTCTCTCCCTTTTTTTTTAAATCTGCGGATTCCAGTCTCTTTATGCTTTATCACCATGTTTGGTTTCAATTTCTTTGTCGCTTCATCTGTCCCAGTCTCTCCCTAAATCTCCCTGAAACATCAAACTTCCATTTTAAAGTCTCCTTCCTCTTTATCCCTAATTACCTTTCCCTTCTCTTCCTTTCGCTAATTGGCTCCACTCGTTCCCTCCATCGACATCTTTCATTCCCTCCTTCCCCCTTTTCAGACCGTCAGTTTTTAATTTACCTCTAAAGCTCCTCACCACCACCAACAACCCAGCTACTCCCCATCCTGACCTCGTGGTTTTCACTTAAAAAAACAAATGAAAAAAAAAAAAGAATCTGCTGCTGATTTCAGATTCCCTGCTGTGGCACTGCATGAAGAGCAAACAGGAAGGCAGTAACTGAGTAGTTTACTTAAACACAGTACTGATAATTGAAAGGATTTATCAATTACGAGTTTATCAACAAAAAACTAATCTGCAGCAAAAGTGCAGAATAATCTTTGCTTCTCAGTTTATTCGAATTTAGTGTTTTTCTTTGAGAATAAACAGAATGTATTTGAGTTTTCGACAAAAAAAATGGGGACTTAAAGACATTATTGGGGCTTCAGAAAATCAATTAACAGAATACTACAGGTAGACTTGTTGATAATGGAAACATTTGGTAGCTGCAGCCCTATTCTAACTTTTTTTTTTTTTTTAATATATAAAAAAATTTAAAATGCTTGTTTGAATTTGTTTAAATGTTTTATTTGATTTCCACTTCCTGCTTTAATCCTCCAGTTACTCTTACAGTCAATTCTTAATTTATAAATTGAGTGATTGTTCTAATATATTGTCTTTTAATGACTAAAGTCACACTCGTGTATTACAGTGAACTAGCTTGTGTGTTGTCATTACAGTTTTGTCTATCATATTGTGTGTATGTAAGCTGTTTGACTTTTGTTTTTTGACACTAACACAGGTGGCCAGAGTGATTTCACAAATACACGTAACTTTATAGTGAATTCACATGCAAATATTGTACTTTTCGCCACACTATATATTTAAAGATTCACTACTTACTCTAGTTGAAGCTTTCATTAATGAAAAATTTGTATTTGGAACATATATGATGCATTGTTATGTTGTTTATACACAAATCAACCAAAAAAAACCCTCTGTTAGTTTAGTGAAATTTTGAATGGAGGAGTTCTCCTTTAAAAATATGAACCTTGATCTGAGGGTGAGGAAAGATATTTTGGAGTCTTGAAGGATAGAGACAGAGGGAGAGAGGAGGAGGAGGAGGAGGAGGAAGAGGAAAAGAAGCTGGTGGAGGGGAGAGAGAGAGAGAGAGGGGAGCCGGTGAGGGAGAGTTTTCTGAAGCGAGGGGCCATGTTAATTTGGGAAAAATGTAAACAGCATGTGTAACTGTTCAAAGCGTGACCGACTCATTTTATATCAGTCCCCCCTTCGCTCTCCTCTCTCTTTCCCTCTGGGTGCTGCTAACTTCTGTCAATCTGCACTGCATTAACCCCTCTACCGCCAGTTCCCCTCGTCTCTCTTTCTCTATTTACTTTTATCTGGCTCTTCCTCCCTTCGCTCTCCAGCCCCCCCCTCCTCCTGCACATCCTCTTGACATCCCTATATATATACCGTGAAGAATTGAGGATGGCGCTGAGCGAATCAAAAGATGTGAAAGGTTCACTTTATCCTCTCTTTTCCACATCCCCTGCTTTCTCCTTTCTTTTGTTTCCTCCTCAGCGGTCCAACACACACTAAAGCTTTTATCTGAAACACACCGACACTAATTCAAGCCTCCCAGCAATATCAGGCTTTGTGTGCAACAGCAAATAAAGGAGGTGGACTTTTATTTTCATTCAAATCAAATCATTGTGGAGAAAAACATATCTGTGCATCTACCTGGGGAGATGAATACTGTGTGTCAAAGGTAACATCTGAGTGTATTTATGAGAGGGAGCAGCAGTTTGTTCTGCACGCACATCTCTATTTATTGTCTGAAGTTACACTAAATTTTTGCTGATGGGCTTCATCGTGATGTCGACCACCTAGATGGGACGAGGGCGAGGAAGGGTGGCAGGAGCAGAGGAGGAAGACAAGAAAAAGAGAAGCTGCTCGGGGCATCTTTTCATCACCCGGCCATCCTTCAGTGCCGCCTTTCCCTCCTTCTTTCACCTCCTTTTCCTTCCTTTCATAGACACGAAGCAGCAGCCGCACCAGTCGTCCCAGGAGGAAACTGTGTGTGTGTGTGTGTGTGCGTCCTCTCACACCCTGACTAACGTGAATCATGTACTTTCTCATATCGGTGACAGCTAACTAGACAGGGGCTTTAGCTGCCTCTGACCCCTTCAACCTCTGTCATTTTTTTTCTTACTGTGAACAAACCCCCCTCCACACACCCCATCCCCACCATCTCTCTCTGTCACACACTTTTTTTTCAGTCTTAGTCTCTCTTTGCGCTCTGCTCTGAACACATATAAATCTGAAGAACTACTCTAAAAGCACATTTACATCTGTGCTGATCCAGCTTATTTGCTTTATTCATATTTTTTTTTTGCAATAGTTTCTGTCTTTAAGATTTTTTATAAGCCTTAAAGTTTTAAATAATGAGCCATCAAACTCAAAGTACTACTTTTCTAAAGTAAAAAAAAAGTGATTTAAAGCCACATTTCAGCTAATTTTGTATGTTCAAAAACAAACAAAAAAAAAAAAAAAAAAAAAAGATTTTTTTTGTAGGGCTAAAAAAAAACTGAATTGGATTATTTGCTTTAAGATGCAAATATAAACCCAATGAAACCACATATAAAACTGAATATACTTGATGAAATTAAAAATACACACACACCAATGTTCTGCAGCATCTCTGCATTTCCCCCACAACTTTCAATATTTATCAGCTCGTATTTGCATCATAAATATATACTGACAGAAAAGACAGATAATACTCTCTGAATTAATTGGTATTGTGCACAGAAAAAGCAGGTTATATTTGTTTTTTAAAACTTCTCAAAGTACTGGATTCTTGATCTTACCTCCGCCAAATCTTCTCATTTTCTCCAAATCCTTTTATTCCGTCCAGTGCGCTCACAGAAGTTCATCCACAGGCGGATTTAAGAGCAGAAATAAACCGAGAACTTTTTCTAGATCAGGTCGCTCTCTCTTGTTTTTATGAAGAAAAAAAAAACTGAATTCAATGTGCTCTCCTGAACTCTTGGAGATGGTGTTTCGCTCCTGCGCTGATTAAATGAAAGATGCGGGACGGGATGGAGCTGAAATATTGACGCTGCGCTGACTTGGTGGTCCGTGTGACAGACTGAATGACGGCGGAGGCTTTTTGTACCTCCTCCTCCTCCTCTTTTTCTACCAATTTCTCCCCTTTCCTCCCCCTTTCTTTCTTCCTTCCTCCCCTCCTTCCTTCACCATCCCCGGCTCTTTCCCTTCTTCTTCTTCTTCTTTCGTTATCCTCCTCCTCGGTGCTGGTGATTCACCGGGTTTGACGCATCGCAGCTCGACTTGACAGACTCATGAACCACGAGACTTGTCACAACTCATCTCCGTCTCTCTTCCCCTCGTCATCCTCATCGACGCAAACTGGCTGCGGCCGTTTGATCTTTAATCTTCTTGCCTTTAATAAGGTGAGAGTCCGACTGGATCGGTTCACTGCAGGCCAAGAGGAGCCGCAAGGCAAACCTCAAATCGACCAGGAAACAAGGAATTACATGTTCTCTACCTTTTTCTCTGTATGTGTGTGTATCAGACCAACTTTCTGAGAAAACACTACCTTTTTTTTTTTTTTTTTTTTGCCGCTGACGTTTTCACTTTTCATCCATACATGATTACGCACGACTTTGTTCTCTAAATAAAAAAAATCAACTAGGTTAAGAGCACTTTTCTCTTCTTTACGCACAAAGAAATCTAAAAAAATATATATACACATGTAAATTCAAATTATTAATATTGACACAAAAAATCCAACTTATATATCACGTAAAATGAAACTGATTCAAACAGTGAGGTAGGATTTCATTACAGATACCAAAGTTGCGACACTCTCCCTGTGAACTCTTTCCAATGTTTTTCTATCTGTTTCTTTAGACAGGCATAAGGTGAAGACAAGTGTTTGCCTGCACCACGGCATTTCTTTCTTCCGCCTTCATTCCTCAGGTTTTAGTTTTTATTGACAGTGAGATTACGCTGATCTTCTTCTCTCACCTCTATCTGTCACTCAGCACACCTGCGGCTCCGTGGCGCGCCCGCTTGTGCGCATGTACGAGAGGTTTCAAGGCCAAAGCATCGTTGCTCATCCTCTATTTGTCCTGGATCCAAGTTATATGTGCAAAAAACAGAACTGGGCCTCTTGGTAAAATCCTTCCATAATCGCTCAAATATCCCAAATCCTTTAGGCCGACCGGTTTATATGGTTGAATAAAGTGGCTTGGTTATGCGGACTGACAGTGTATCCTCAAGGCTGGATTAAACTGGGGGCCCAGGACTGCAGGGGCCCCACAAAAGACCCACGGTTACTGTATTTCAACTGGATGTAACAGAAAATATGTTCGCTAAAGCGTTTCACCTGGCATGATAAAGGCCTTTAATTGCTGCTGATCCAAGGCCTATGAAACCCCGTCTTGAATAAGTTTATACTTTTTCAGTTTTGTGTTTATGTTGCATTTTTAAAAAAATATTTGTTTAATCAAATTACTAAACAAATTGTGCACATTTACCCCCGTGGCTCCCTAGCTGGTTAATCTCAGCATTACTTTTAATTGATCCAGGGCCTTCCTCCTCATAATAAATCTGCTCTGTTTTATAAAATTTTAAAATCTAAATAACAACGTGGAGTGGGATTAATGATGTAACATCCACATTAAACTCTCCTTTGTCAACGATTAGAGACATGCTTGCTCCTATTTGTTGCACTCTGTGTTTAAGAATGCTTTTTAGAACAGTTTTGACATTAGTAATAAAAGTACACCTTACCAGTTTCAATGGCTGTGTTGTGCGCCACCCAGTGGTCATCGATGATCACTGCACTCCGCGTTGCTCCGCGCAGACTCAGTAAAAACCCTCCGTTTTTAAACAGGACTTGCTATGAGCGACTTTATATTTCAAATTCTTCACGGACATTTGCTTCTAAACCACTAAAGACTGCGTGTACCTTCCACAGACGGCTTTAATAGTTTTAAAAAAAACCTTCGCCAACCCGGAAGCAAATACAAATCTCCTCTGGTTTTTCCTGTGACGTCGCGCTAGCTCCCGATGCTACACGCGGGAAACAGGCGAAGCTGCTCAACACAGTCATAGTAAGACGTGAAGTTTTCAACTTGTATTTTTTCGTGTATTTAGAATCTAATTTAGGTGTGGTAGTAAGCAACGAGATGATATACGTTGCATACGTGCTTTATTTCGAGCTACATCGTTTGCTAAATTAACTCAAAACATCAGTTGATTTGTTCACGCCGGCCTAGTTCTGGTGGAGCGCTCAATTTAAAGTGCGGCTTGTCTCTACGGGGCGGCGCTGCCGAGCATATCCTCTTTATCTGGCAACCGTGCTACATTGTGCCATAAAAGAAGCGCTCCCTATCCACTTCAAGTTAGCCTAGCTATTGTTAGTTGCGTAGCATGGATGTAGGTTATCTTTTGTGTTGCTGAGCTGTAAGACTCAACTAACAGATTAATGTACAAAGAAAATACCGGTTTAAATGTTCGCTAAACTGTGTTGTCTGGAATTCATTGCCAACAGTCAGTGACGTTAGCTATAAGCTAGCTCGCAACTTTAACCAGCGCTTTTAACTGTGAGTCTGAAATATCGAACCTCAAAAAGAAAAGCTAAAGCTGACATCAAATACGTATAATACTGATTTTGCAACAGGTTTATTGCTCTTTGCGGTCCACTGTTTGAGTCAGTGTGGCTCAGTGACTGCCATGTCTGAACATGTTTTCATCAGCATCAGGCTTGCAGTGAAAATGACCGTTTTAAGGAGAAATGCAAACTTCATGCTCCAAACGGAAAACAGGGCTGAAAACCCACTGATGCTTATCATGCTTGCTTTAAACCGTGTGGATGTCCGCTTGTATCTAATGAAGTTTCGTCTGTCTACCTGTCTGTCTGTCTGTCTGTCTGCAGAGCACCAGTTATCGCCTGTCGCCGAAATGGGAGACACGCTTGAGTTCAACGAAATCTACCAGGAAGTTAAAGGCTCCTGGGTTAGTATCTTCATCATCACCTCTGCTCTCTAAACTGATGTGTAGAAACCTGATTTCCAGATACTTCAACATATTCACTACATTCCACTAAACAAAAATGTAAATACAACATTCAATAGATCCATTCCTTTTAACACAGATTTGGACATCATGAAACTATATTGGGGATTATAACGAGCAGATTGAGACTGGGGTCATAGACCAGAAATGACATGCCAGCAACAAGTCGCACATCCCTGACACAGAGTTAATGAGGTTGTTGATGCTGCCTGTTAAATGCTGTCCCGCTCTTTCTGAACGGCTCTGCAATATTTATCTTGGGGGACTTGATCATGTAATGTCACATTCATAGACACGTTTATCAGAAGCATCATGTGGCAGATTGTCTGTCCTCCCGTATTGTCTGACACAATTTCTGCATGCTAGCTGCCAGCATGCCAATAACTCGATCTTACCCTTCTCTTGTCATCTGTGTCATCGTGTCATTTGAATAAATCTGCATTTTAAGGTGGCCTTTTGCAGTTAATGGTCAAGTTAGTGTCTGTGTACTGGTCACATTATCTGATCATTATTCTTTAAAGCCACACCTGACTTTTGGTGCACAATTGGCTAAAGTGAATTGTTTTTTAGGTAGATAAAAAGGATAGAAACAGAAATGACATTTTTAGCTGCTTCTTTGTGCCACAAAAGAAGACCATTTGCATGCTGGCTTTTTTGTTCTGTATGTTCTTCTATGGAACTAATGTTTTCTTTATGGTTGATCAGGGGTTATGATCCATAATATAGTTGTTGTTTTTATAAAATTATTTAGTCATATAAGGTACGGGACTTAAAGGAGTAGCCTCCTGTGTATTTCCTGAGACATACACAAAGAAATTGATAAGGTGCAAGAATATGATCATTTGATTGTTCTAAAAGTGGGCTATACTTAGGTTCTGTCTACCTTCACTCTCATTTAGTCCAGAATCTTTTTTTTGCTAACCGTAACCGTAAATGTAATAATGTTTACACTAAAACTGGGCTACATTTGTCATAAGTGTATCACTGAGAAGTTGCAAATTCAAATTATTATATCACAATATATTTTAGCTGTGAATATTTACAGTTCTTTGTGTGATATGCAAATTAGGTAATTAAGAAAAGTAAGTAACTTGGAATAATAGTGGCCTACATTTAGCCAGGGATAATTAGGACCATAAGAGAGCTGCAGCATTACATTGAGCATCCCAGCAGAAAAGTGATAATCCAGAACAAGTTGACTGGATTGTGTCTGGATAAAATTAAGTTGTGTCTATCAGCTATGTGACAAAATTGGCACATCAATATCAATTAATCTCCATATTATTTTTTTAGGTAATCATTGGGTTTGAAAAATAAAAATCACATTAGAGAAGTTGGAACCAGTAAATTACTTCTGGAATTTTTAGAATTTGACTTACACAATAATCAGAATGGAATCAGTTGCTTTTTATCAGGTGACTAATTGAATATTGGACTTCTCTTTACAGCTTTACTATTAACAAACTCTGTCATTAACCTTTACTTCCAGCATTTTAACACAGCTTTTTTTCTGCCTGTATTTCTTTCTTTTGTCGCTGCAGAATGACGGGCGGTTGCGTTTCAGCAAGCAGAATGTGGTTTACAAGAGCAGCAAGACGGGGAAGGTGGACAGCATCCCAGCTGGCGAGCTGAACATGGCCCAGTGGAGACGAGTGTGTTTAGGTCACGGCATCAAACTCGGCACCAGCACGGGACACATCTACAAATATGATGGCTTCAGGGACACGGTGAGTTCTGGAGACACATGGCATGCATGCAGGCTCCTCTGTAGATTAATGTGTGTGCAATTAAGCATTGGTTTTACAGTTTTTTGAGGTTCAGACGGCTGATCAGGCTCTTAAGATTCTGTCCTCATTTTTCCGGACTCTAAATCTTTCCTTTCTGTTTCTGGGAAATAATTGTTACCTTATTCAGAGGATAACAAGGCAACAGTGGAATATTTCAGACTGACACACACTGCTGGTTTGCTCAGTGCTGTGTTTATGACGGGGGATGTAACGCA